GTGTATGGTGAGAGATAGGGGTTTAATTTCATTTTGCTGCATATGGATTTTCAGTTTTCCCAACACCATTTGTTGAAGAGGCTATCTTTTCTCCAATATATGTTTTTGGTGCTACTGTCTAATACAAGATAACTTTATTTATGTAGATTTGTCTCTGTGTCTTCTGTACCATTGGCCTACAGGTTTATTTTGGTGCCAATACCATGCCACTTTTGTTACTATAGCTCTGGACTATAGTTTAAGGTCTGGTGTTGTGATGCCTCCTGCTTCACTCTTCTTACTAAAGATTGCTTTGGCTAGTCTGGGTCTCTTATTTTTCCAAATGAATTAGAGCACTAATCTCCAGGGTATATAAAGAATTCAAGAAACTTAACACCAAATCAACAGCAACAACAAAAATCTCCCCAAACAAATAACTCAATCCATAAATGTGCTAAGGAACTGAACAGACACTTCTCAGAAGAAGATATACAATCAATCAACAAATATATGAAAAAATGTTCAACATCTCTAGTAATTAAAGAAATCAAAACTATTTTAAGATTTCATCTCACTCCAGTCAAAATGGCAGTTATCAAGAATAAACCCAAAAATTGTTGGAGAAAATGTGGGGGAAAAGGTACACTTATACAATGGTGTGGGACTGCAAATTGGTGCAACCACTCTGGAAAGCAGTATGGAGATTCCTTAGAAAACTTGGAATGGAACCATCATTTTCATTATTGGTATACAATAAACTTATTGATTTGTCTACGTTGATTTTTTAACCTGCTACTCTTCTTAATTTATTTAAAAACTCTTGGAGCTTTTTGTATCTTCTAAGTATAGGGTCATATATATCATCTGAAAGAGTGATAATTTGACTTCTTCCTTATTTTTATTCTTTTTATTTCCTTTTCTTGCTTAATTGTGGTCTGGCTAGAATTTTTAGTACTATATTCAGTAGGAGTGGTGAGCATTGACATTCTTCTTTTGTTTCAGATTTTAAAGGAAGTGATTTCAGTTTAAGGCCAATCACTATGATGTTGGCTTTGGATTTATCCTATATAGTCTTAATGATGTTGAGGTAAGTTCCTTCTAAGTCTAGTTTCTTCAGTGTTTCTATCATGAACAGATTCTAAATTTTGTTGAAGGCTTTTTCACATCTTTTGAGATGACTATATGATTTTTGTTCTTAATTATGTGGTGAATTGTATTTATTGTGGTGAATCTATTGATTTGCATTTGTTTAACTATCTTTGTGTCACTGTAATGCAACCAACTTGGTCATGATGCAAAATGTTCTTAATGTGTTTTTGAATATGACTTGCTAATATTTTATTAAGGCTTTCTGCATCTATGTTCATCAGGGATATTGGTCTATAGTTTTCTTTCTTTAACATGTCCCTGTCTTGTTTTTGGTATAAGGGTGATATTGGCTTCATAGAATGAAATTGGAAGTGTATCATCCCTTTCTATTTCATGGAATAATTTGAGAAGCATTGGCATTTGTTCTTTTTAAAGGTCTGATAGACTTCAGTTGAGAATTCACCTAGTCCTGGGCTTTCCTTTATTAGAAGGCTTTTTATTACTGCTTCTATCTCATAGTTAGTTATTGTTCTCTTGGTTTTATATTTCCTCTTAGTTCAATTTTGGCAAGTCTTATGAGTCTAGAAATGTATCCATTTTTTCTTGATTTTCTTCCACTTTACTGGAATATAAATTCTCAAAATAGTTCCTAATGATCCTATGGATTTAAATGATATCTCTGGTGATTTCTCCTTTTACATCTCTAATTTTATTAATTTGGGCCTTTTTATTTTTGTGAGTTTAGGGAAGGGTTTGTCAATCTTATTTATTTTTTCAAAGAAGCAGTTCTTTGTTTTGTTGATACTTTTTATTGTCTTTTAAATCTCTATTTCATTGATTTTTGCCTCTTCATAATTATTTCTTTCCTTCTACTGGTTTTGTGATTGGTTTGTTCTTCTTTTTCAAGTGCCTTGACATGCATTACTAGGTTGTTTATTTGGGATCTTTCTGATTTTATTATGTAGTACACAAAATTATAAACTTTCCTCTTAGAACTAAGTTCAGAGTGTCCTGTAGATTCTGGTGTGTTGTATAACTAGTTTTTTTTTTATTATTCTGAGATTTAAAAAATTTTTCTTCTAATTTATTTTGTTATCCATTCATCATCCCAAAACATATTGTTTAGTCTTTGTTATATAGTTTCAGTAGATTTTTTGTTTTTGTGTTGATTTCTGATTTCATTCCCTTATAATCAGATAAAATGCATGGAATTATGTTGATGTTTTGTATTTGCTAACAGTTGCTTTGGGACCTAAATTATGGTCTGTTTTAGAAAAAGTTTCATGAACAGCTGAAGACAGTGAATTAGACTGTTGTTCGATAAAATATTCTATAGTTTAGTCTATAAAATATTCTATTGTTTAGTCTATTTGATTTATAATATTTTTTAGATTTGAAGAATCTTTACTGAGTTTATATCTGGATGATCTATCTATTGGTGAGAGAGATGTGTTGAAATCACTCAGTATTATTGTACTGGTGTCTATCTTCTCTGAGACTTTAAATTGAAAAGTGTCCCTTTTGTGTAATTAGGTGTACTGATGTTTGGGAAATAAATATTTACTATTGTTATATCTTCTTGTTGGATTGTTTGTTCTCTTTATCAGTATGAAGTGACTTTCTTTGGCTCTTTTGATTAATTCTGGCTTGACGTCTGCTTTGTTGGATATGACAGTAGTCACTGCTGCTTTTTTTCAGGCTCCATTTGCATGGTATAGCAATTTCCATCCTTTTACTTTTAGTCTATGACTGTCTTTGCCTGTAAAGTGAGTCTCTTGCAAACAACATATAGTTGGATATTATTTTTTAATTCATTATTTTATCTTTTTATTAGACACATAATTGGATTGCTATAACAGAATATCACAGACTCAGTAAATTATCATGAGAAGGAATTTATTTCTCACAGTTCTGGAGGCCAGGAAGTCCAATATCAAGATGCTGGCATTTGATGAGAGCCTTTTTGCTGTGTCATCCAATGGCAGAGGGTTAGGGGGTGAGAGAAGATGAGAGAGCATTAGAGAAAGGGAACAAGGGAACTGAATTCATTCTCATGAGGAATATGCTGGTGCAGTAATCAACACATTCCCATGATAATAGCATCAATGCATTTATGAGGGAGGTTCTCATCACCTAATAACTCTGTCTTCCCATGTTTCAACACTATTGCATTGGTGATTAAGTTTCCAACACATGGATTTTGGGGGCCACATTCCAACCACAGCATAACTCATTTATTACTGTCCAGTTAGTCTGTTTCCATATCTTAAATATTGTGAATAAGGCTGCCTTGAACATGGGAGCACAACAGTTTTGGTGTATTTGTCTTTCTAGGAATTTGTCCATTTCTTCTATAGTACCTAATTTATTTATTTTTTAAGAGACAGTGTCTTACTATGTTGCCCAAGTTGGTCTTGAACTCCTAAGTTCAAGTGATTCTCTGTCCTCAGTCTCCTGAGTAGTGGTGCTATAGATGCATGCCATCATACTCAGCCTACATTATTTAATTCATGCCCTTCTACATAGTATTCTCTTATTATGCTTTTATTTTTGAAAGACTGATAATAATAACCTTTCTTTCATTCCCAATTTGAGTCTTGTTGATTTTTATGTGGTTAACATAGTTTAAAAATTGTAATTTTGTGATCTTTCAAAAACTCAATTCAAAATTATTTTTTATCTCATTTTTCTATTCTCTGGTGCATTAACTTCTATCTAGTTTTTGTTATTATTATTTATTATTTCATTCTTTCTTCTTGATGCTAGCATGGTTTGGTCTCCTTTTATAGTTTCTTAATGTGAAAATTTAGGTTATTGATTGAAAACCTTTGTTCTTTTAAAATATCTACAGCTATAAAATTTTTCTCTAAGCATTGCTTTTCTGCATTTCATAAGTTTTGGTATGTTGTGGTTGCATTAAATTCATATCAAGGTAATTTCTAATTTCTTCTTTGACCCATTGGTTTGTTTAGGAATGTATTGTTTAATTTTCACATATTTGTGAATTTCCCAATTTTTCTTTTGCCAATTTCTAACTCAATTTCACTATAATGAGAAAACATGCCTTGTATGCTTTTAAAAAAATTATGATGTATCTTGTTAAAATAAACATTCCCCAAATATAAACATCTTAGCAAGCAAGCATTCAATATTTAAAATTATTGAGATATTTGACATTCTTATCTTTATATTAAAATTTCATAATCTTTTGTGTTTAATTTATCTTCACAGCACATCTCACTCCATACAAGCCATATTTCCCATGTTCAAAGCCATATCAAGTTAGTGCCTGCTTTATGGGAAACAATTCTTTAAAATTTATTGATGCTTGTTTTATGGCTTAGCATGTGTTTTATCTTAGAGAATGTTCATATGTACTTACAATTCTACATGTTTTATGACTCTATATCTTGTAACTAAGGAGTTTTCCGAAAAGCAACTATTTATTATTATTTTTAAGACACAGGGTCTTGCTACGTTGCCCAGGCTGTCCTTAAATTCCCGGGTTGGGCTCACATGGTGTGGTGGTACACGTCTGTAATCCCAATGGCTTGGGAGGCTGAGGTAGGAGAATCAACAAGTTCAAAAGCCAGCCTCAGCAAAACTGAGGTGCATAGCCACTCAGTGAGACCCTGTCTCCAACTAAATAAAATACAAAATAGGGCTTGGGATGTGGCTAAGTGGTTAAGTGCCTCTGAGTCCAATCCCTGGTAACCACCCCCCCACCACCCCACCCCCCCAAAAAAAAGAAAGAAAAAGAAAAAACCTCCTGGGCACAAGTGATCCTCCTGCCTCAGCCTCCCAAGCAGCTTGGACTACAAGCATATGCCACTGCAACCAGCTTTAATTTTTAAAATACAGAACTCATATATTATGTTATTACAACATAGACTCTTCCTCCACTCACACTTCCTCATCTTTTTCAGATAAGAAGAGATGTCTCTGGTGGAACTTTTGCTCTGGTGGGACTGTTTTTCTAGAACTGGTAAGTGATTTTAATTGATAAGGTTTTATTTACTATTAGCAGTTATCTCTGATTCCCTAGCTGGTGTTTTTGGTGATGCTTCGCCTCTCATATTCTTCAAATATTAAACATCTTTAATTTCTTAGTCCTGCAAAACACCATTTTCCTTTTCAAAAGATATTCCACATAAAGAAATCTGTAGTGTTGCTATACCAATAGGCAATTATTTGAAACAGAAATCAAGAAAAAAGCAATCCTTTTTATAATGGCTACAAAAAATACATAGGAAAAAATGTAACCAAAGAGGAAAAAGATCTCTACAATGAAAATGATAAAACATTGATGAAAGAAATTGAAGATAAAATAGGAAATAAAAAGACAATATATGTTTATGGATTGGAAAAAATTAATATCTTTAAAATGCCTATACTGGGCTGGGAGGTAGCTCAGTGATAGAATGCTTGCCTAGCATGCATGAGGCCCTGGGTTCAAGTCCAAATACAAAAAAAAAATGCCTATAATACACAAAGCAATCTATAGATTCAATGCAATCCCTATCAAAATACCAATGTCATTCTTCAGAGAATTAGAAAAAACAATCTTCAAATTTGTATGCACGCGCGCGCACACACACACGCAAACCCAAATAACCAAAGCAATTTTAATAAAAGAACTCAGCAGGGGACATATCTAACTTCAAATATACTACAAAGCTGTAGTAATCGAAATAGCATGGTATTAGTATTAAAAAAGACACACGGATCAGTGGAACAGAATAGAAAGCCCAGAAGTAAACCAGTACATGGCCAAGTGATTTTTAACAAAGATGCTAAGAACAGACAGTGGAGAAAGGACAGTCTTCAATAAGTGGTGCTGGGAAAATTAGATATAGATATGCAAGAAAATGAAATCAGCTGGGGCTGTGTCTCAGTGGTAGCACACTTGTCTGGCATGTATGAGGCACTGGGTTTGATTCTCAGCACTGCAGGTGAATAAATAAAAATAAATAAAGGTCTGTCAACAACTAAAAAAAAAAATTAAAAAAAAAGAAAATGAAATCAGACAGACCCCTATTTCATACCAGTTACAAAAGTCAGCTCAAAATTAATTGAAGATCTAAATGTAAGATGTGAAGCTGTGAAACTACTAGAAGAAAATGGTGGAAATGCTTGGGAACATTTGAATGGACAAGGCTGTTTTGACAAGGCCCCATAGGCACCTGAAGCAAAAGTGAAAATAGACAAATGTGATTCCATCAGGCTAAAACCTTTCTGCATAGCAAAGAAAAAAAATCTAGAGACACATAGAGAATGGGAGAAAATATTTTAAAACTATATAGATGACAATGGGTAAACCAGATCAATGGGTAAATATCCAGAATATAAGAACTCAAAACAACTCACTAGTCCAAAAAACAAATAACCAAATTAATAAATGAGCGATAGATCTAAATAGACATTTCTCAAAAGAAAACATACAAATGAGCAATGGGTATATGAAAAAATGTTCAGCATCACTAATCATTAGGGAAATCCAAATCAAAACCACAATAGGGTATCATCTCAGTTAAGTAAGAATGGCAATTATCAAAAAGACAGAAGGTAACAAGTACAGGTAAGAATGTGGAGAAAAGGGAGCCCTTTGCACACTGTTGGTGAGAATGTAAGTTAGTGTAGCCATTACGGAAAATTGTATGGATGTTTCTCCAAATTTTAAGTAGTCACTGCCATGTGACTCAGCAGTTCCACTGCCATATCAAAAGGAAATGAAATCAGTATGTTGAAGAGACATTTGTGCTCTCACGTTTAATGCAGCATTATTCACAATAACAAGGAAATGGGAAAAAACCCCCAAGAATCCACCAACTGATGAATGGATAAATGTGGTTTAAAAAAATAGAAAATATGGTACATATGCACAATGGAATACTATTCATCCATAAAAAGATTGAAATCCTGTTGTTTGCAATGACATGGATGGAATTGGAGATCATTACGTTAAGTGAAATCTGCCAGACACAGAAAGACAAATAACCATGGTCTCATTCCTATGTAAAGCTTATGAAAGTTGCTTTTGTAGAAGTTGAAGGTAGAATAGTGGTTACTAGAAGCTTGGAAAAGTGGGGGACAGAAATTGGGAGGGATGGGGAGAATTTGATCAATGAGTACTAAGTTATAGTTAGGAAACATGAAATTCTGGTGTGTTGGGGTGACTATCAATAGCAATAATTTATATTTCAAAAAGCTAGAAAAAAAGATTTTGAGTGTCTTCACTATAAAGAAAAGATAACCATTTGAGGAGATATGTTTAACCTGATTTCACCCTGCTTATATATTATACAATGACTGTGTGTATTGAAATATCACATGGTATCCCATAAATACGTACTCCACAATTTTTATATATGAGTTAAAAATTTAAAAAATACTATTCATAAAAATATATAGACTTAGAAGGAAAACAGGAAAGAGAAGAGAAGACAGCTGTCCATCTGCATTGGGAGTAGGTTATAATGCTCCCATACAGGACTGATTTAATGATCAGTCAAAAGATGCTCCTATGTCTAGAAGAGCATCTCCAGAGCTTTATACCCAGTGATGTATGGAGGGAGAAAAAGGGCTTAGAAAACAAAGGTGTTGTTTTAACTAGTTATCTCTGTTCTTGGGAGTTAGTTCTAACATTTAAATTGGTTAAAAAGCTAATTTAAATTTAAAAATTAGTTATTGAGCCATATGTGGTGGCACACACCTGTAATCCCAGCATCTGGGGAGACTGAGGTAGGAGGATCACAAGTTCACTCCTAGCTTCCACAATTTAGGGAGGCCCTAAGCAACTTAGCAAGATCCTTCCTTGAGAGAGGTGGGAAAAAAAAAAAAAAAAAAA